CGAAGACAAGATCAGAAAGATGAAGTCTTAGTTGTTTCAAACAACAAAAAGAAATTAGGTGTGGTTATGAAGCCTACGGGCAAACCTTTAAAGAATCAGAACCGTAATACTGTGAACCGAATTAAGAATGGGAATCCCTCTAGGGCCCCATATACTGCAATTCCTAGGCAGCAACCACCATCCCAGAGAAATGATGCTCCGGTTTTCACTTTCTACAATTGTGGGAAACCGGGTCATATGGCTAAGAAATGTAAGAGCAGGCCTAAATCTGCTACTGGCCCAAATGCACAGGTTAACCTGACTGATGAGCAATTCATTTCTATGATCACTGAAGTCAACATGGTTGATGGAAGTGATGGTTGGTGGATAGACACTGGCGCCTCTCGTCATGTTTGTAATGATTGTGCTATGTTTAAGACATACATGAATATTGAAGATAAGAAAGTGTTGTTGGGAGATGCCCACACCACTAATGTTGCTGGAATTGGAGATGTTGAGCTGAAGTTCACTTCAGGAAAGACCTTGATCTTGAAGGACGTCATGCACATTCCTGAAATTAGGAAGAATCTTGTTTCTGGTTTCCTTTTAAATAAGGCTGGGTTTAGTCAAACTATAGGGGCAGATTTATACACCATCACTAAGAATGGTATTTTTGTTGGGAAAGGGTACGCCACTGATGGCATGTTTAAGTTAAATGTTGATTTGAATAAAATTTGTCCTTCTGTTTATTTTCTGTATGATTTTAATATTTGGCATGCTAGAATTTGCCACGTTAATAAGCGAATTATGTATAATGCCAGCAACTTAGGCCTGATCCCTAAACTAAATTTCAATGATTCAAATAAATGTGAATATTGTACTCAAGCTAAGATAATTAAGACATCACATAAATCAATTCTAAGAGAATCTGATCCCCTAGATCTTATACACTCTGATATATGTGAATTAGATAGAACTTTGACTAGGAACAGTAAACGTTATTTTATCACCTTTATTGATGATTGTTCTGATTATACTTATGTATACTTAATGAAGAATAAAAGTGAAGCACTTGATATGTTTAAGTTGTATGTAACCGAAATTGAGAATCAACTTAGTAAGAAGATCAAGAGACTTCGTAGTGATAGGGGAACTGAATATGACTCTGGTCTATTTAATGACTTTTATAAAGAACATGGAATTATACATGAAACAACTGCTTCATATTCTCCTGAAATGAATGGTAAAGCAGAAAGAAAGAATAGAACTCTTACTGAACTTGTTGTTGCAATTATGATGAATTATGGTGCTGCACCTCACTGGTGGGGGGAATTTTTATTGACTGTTTGCTATGTCCTGAATAGAATCCCCAAGTCAAAATGTAAGATCTCTCCTTAAGAGATATTAAAGAAAAGACAACCAAACTTATCTTATTTGAGAACTTGGGGCTCTCTGGCTTATGTCAGAATTCTGGATCCGAAACGAGTTAAACTCGCTAGTAGAGCATATGAATGTGTTTTCATTGGATATGCAGCAAACAGTAAAGCATATAGGTTTTATGACCTAATAGCAAAAGTGATCATATAATCAAATGATGCTGAATTCTATGAAGACAAATTTCCCTTCAAATTGAGAAATAGTGGGGGCACACAATCGAGTCACACTCCTATGATAAGAAGCACAGAATGCAACGACATATTAGAAATAGAACTTCGACGAAGTAAACGAGTAAGAGTCGCTAAATACTATGGGCCTGACTATGCGGCTTATAATGTAGAAGAAGATCCAATGAATCTTCAAGAAGCCCTGTCTTCTCTGGATGCTGATCTATGTAAAGAGGCTATCAATGATGAGATAGAATCTCTAGAATCCAATAAGACCTGGAACTTAGTAGACTTGCCTCCTGGTTGCAAACCAATTGGTTTTAAATGGGTTTTGAAAAGGAAACTAAAACCTGATGGAACTATTGATAAATACAAGGCTCGCCTTGTTGCCAAGGGTTTTAGACAAAGAGAAAATATAGATTTCTTCGACACCTTTTCTCCTATCACTAGAATTACATCCATTAGGGTACTTATTTCAATAGCTGCTATTTATAACTTAATAGTACACCAAATGGATGTAAAAATAGCTTTTTTAAATGGTGACTTAGAAGAAGAAATCTATATGGAACAACCGGAAGGGTTTATAATCTATGGACAAGAAAACAAGGTCTGTAAGTTAAATAAGTCGTTGTATGGACTAAAACAAGCTCCTAAGCAATGGCATGAAAAATTTGATAACTTAATGATATCAAGTGGCTACAAAGTGAATGAAAGTGACAAATGCGTTTACTATAAATCTGAGAATCGCATATGCACTATCATATGTCTTTATGTTGACGATCTACTCATATTTAGATCTAACATTCAGACCATTAATGATGTGAAATCATTGTTGTGCAACAACTTTGATATGAAAGATCTCGGAGAAGCAAATGTGATCCTTGGCATCAAGATCACGAGATCTGAACAAGGAATTTCTTTGGATCAATCACATTATGTGGAGAAGATCTTAAAGAAATATAATTACTTTGAATGTAAACCTGGATGCACACCATGTGATCCAAGTGTGAAACTATTTAAGAACACTGGAGAAAGTGTCAGACAATCAGAATATGCAAGCATCATTGGCATTTTTAGGTATGCCACTGATTGTACTAGACCCGACATTGCATATGTCGTAGGATTGTTATGCAGGTTTACGAGAAGACTGAGTAAAGAGCACTGGAAAGCTATTGAACGAGTCATGAGGTACCTCAAAAGGACCATGGATCTCGTCCTACATTATCAGAAGTTTCCTGCTGTACTAGAAGGGTACAGTGATGCAAATTGGAATACTTTGTCAGATGATTCCAAAGCTACTAGTACCTATATATTTAGCATAGCTTGAGGAGCTGTATCATGGAAATCAAAGAAACAAACTATTCTAGCTCAGTCCACAATGGAATCTGAGATGATAGCACTAGCCACAGCTAGTGAAGAAGCAAGTTGGTTGTGATGCTTGCTAGCTGAGATCCCTTTATGGGAAAAACCTATGCCAGCTGTGTTTATCCACTGAGATAGTACCGCGGCTATTTCAAAAATTGAGAACCGTTATTATAATGGTAAAAGACGTCAAATAAGAAGGAAGCACAGCATTGTTAGAGATTGTATCTCTAAAGGAGCTGTAAGAGTGGATCATATACGCACTGATGAAAATTTAGCAGATCCTTTGACGAAAGGATTAGCTAGAGAGAAAGTCCATAATACATCCAAAAGGATGGGACTAATGCCTATAAAGAAATGAGTTGCTCATAATGGTAACCCGACCTAGATGATTGGAGATCCCAAGAAATAGGTTCAATGGGTAATAACAAGTTATGAGTAATATGAGATGATCATGCAAGTAAAGCATGAATCCTGAAGTAATAAGAGGATGAGATAATAGAAACTCTTAATGAGATCTATACTCTGTATGAGGGAGTACCTAGGCTACATGAGTACTCTTGATAGACTCACCTATGTGATTGTGGAACTTAGGCCGGTTCCTATGGAATTACGAGGCAGGATTCCTAGAGCCTTCACTAAACCGGGATATACGTGCAGGGCCATTAAAGCACGGGCTATTAGAATACACCTTCAGAAAAGGTTGTGTGCGGGTCTGATGTCTGAGATAGAGTTCAAGACAATAGTGTCACTCTTGTTGAATCAGAATCCTACTTGCTACGCAAAGGTTCAAGTCGTAGACACCTTTGCTTATGCACAATCTTAAAAACGTTTGACGTACTTCTAAAAATCACCTTTTAAATTCAAGTGGGGGATTGTTGGAAATCTTGGTATGATGTAAACTTGGAGTGGGAGTTGGAATACTTTATTGATATTAAATGGGCAATAAATGAGCACAAGTAAGAACTACTATAGAAGTGAATTTGAAAAGATTCATTTTAGTCCTACATAGGAGGGATTATAAATACTAGTAGTGTATATATATTCCAACTTGGCCAATTGGGTTGGGCCCCAAGGGGCACCCCAATTTTGTAAAGGAGTGAGGACACACCCATAAGTCATCTAGACACACGCGCGCGCGCCGCCGCCGCTGTTCGTCCGTCCGACCGGCCGGCTCGGCTTGGCTCGGTTCGGTCTGGTTTAGATGAATTAATCTTTTTGAACCGATTTAGTGGAAATTAATTAATATTAATATTATTATTAATTAATTAACAGATGGTGATGTGTCATGCACAAAAGACCAAGTCTTAACGTAATTATTGACTGGTTTTGCTTGCCCTCCAAGAGTCAGTGAGACTTGCTGACCAAGTAAAATAACGACCACCTTTGACTGGGTCAATTCCACCTCTCCCACGATTCTCTCCCACTAGACCTGTTCCATTCAGTTGGACCTTTTTACTTATAAATTGAGTTGTTTCGGTTCATTTGGGCAGTTCTAGAATTCACTACTACAATTCTCTCTTCTCTCTCACTACTCCCTTCATCTATATTTTTCTTCTCTCTTATTTTTTACGACTGGATCACTTCATATCCAGATACTAAGATTGGTTAACTACCATCCGAAGGTGTCATTTTAAGAACGACTAATTATAGTGCAAGTAATTTTCGTACTTTGAACTGGCTGTTTTATCCTGGAGGTGTCGTTGAAACTTGACTGCTTTGCATTAATATTGGCAGTACGACGAAACGTCTTAAACAAAGCGACCTAGTACGCGACTCGTCTCGATAGTTTTCCTTTGTGCCATTTTTTTTAAATCTGGTTTCTACACAACCCCCTATTTATCCTTCTACACACGGCTCCCTCGCTGGCACTAATGCCTCATCGAAACAACCAACACCTGTCCCATTTTCCTCCTCCCTTAGAATATCAAAATTCCTATTTTCAGTACCCACCTTTACAAACGGTTCAGACTTCACCTCTTCCTTTCCCTTTGCACAGAATAATGGGACATCACAAGAATTTGATTTAACCGAATTTTGATTAAACAAAGAATCTTAAACATAGTCGTCTTCCTGGTTGTGCCATCCTATATCAAAATCAGAGGAAGAACCCTTCGAAACCGTCTTCCCCACTTTGCGATTCAAAGAGATCCTGAGAGGGCCGTGAGAATCATCTAACATTTTAATTCTAAAAACAATATCATCGATCAATACATTAAAAGATTCATTCAGAACCAAACAACAAGTAGTTCTCACCAAAATTCTCGTGATATCCATATTGGCAGAGTTCAAGGTGTTTTCGTCGCAACATACATACTTTCCTACCTTGTTCGCTAGCATTTCAAAGAAATTAAAATTCCAAACATGACAGAGGATACCATACACTCTCAGCCAGGTTACCCTCTCCTTGTCTACACCCTCTTCCCTCCAATGGCTCCACCAGCTTCTGCCTTCACTAATGAGATCTAATATCACCATTTCCTCCACCTCTTCAAGAAGATAAATGTTAGCCCCTAAGGGTGTTACCTTTGTAGAAAAAATACCTCTCCATATCAAAGTATGATTGAATATTATAAGTCATTCCATAACTCAAAATAACCCCTACAAAATCTTTTCTTAATCTTGACAAGTCCTCTTTTTTGGACTCAAAACTAAGGCAACAAGAAGACTCCCCTTGGTTCGTAGACTGCTGCTTAGCTCTATTATCGATAGCTTCTGCGTACAAGAAAATTCCCTTCCTAAACATTGATTTACCTCCAAGAAGCACCTTGAGATTTACCTTTGTTGAAAACCCTCTTACCTCCACTTTACCTACACCTTTCATACCCTCAGATTTCCTCACGAATCTATGAGTATTAGCGTGTATTTTCTTGCCGTCAATCATCACATTATCAAGCCTGACAGCAAAGACCCTTTCATCTGTCACTCCCTTAAACCTAGAAAATCCATATCGTTTTCCATCCCAATCTTTCTTCGACAATATGACCACTTCAACAATATTCCCAATACACCCAAAAAGTTTGAAGATATCTGAATCCTTGATGCGATTAGGGATCTTCGAGAAGAAAAAAATAAGAAATAGTTGACCCCTCTTCGTCCTTCAACCTACTGTTCTTCAGCCACACGTCCCACTTCACTTGAATGTTTCTGAAATTTATCTTCCTTGTTCTTACCTCTCTCTCTATAAACATTTTATTATACTTTGATATAAATGGTAATACTTCTTTGTCCGAAACACAAGCGATTATACTTATAAAAAGTGTTATTTTCTTATTCATAAAAATATTTAAAATATGTAATAATAATTATGTTGTTAGATTAAATTCTTTAATTAATAAGTTTCTATATATTTAAATTAGTAAGAAACTCATGTTATCGCACGAGTCACGTCTAGATTCACATTACACGTATCAATAATTAAAATGTTAGTCAATAGCTTATATCTCATAGATACATTCATATTTATCTGTGAATCCAGATGAGTTAACAAACCCCAGTTGAATTCAAATAAATTAATTCTAAAAATTTATTAAGTTTATTTTAGATATTGGTCTATTTTTCCAAACTTAAAATGCATGGTAATTCCTCGTCAAATTTCAATTTTAAAACTTTACTATTATATGATATTTACATTTTTTTACAACCTATATAACAGATGGTGATGATTACCAAGAAGAAGAGGATGCTCAAAGCTGACGGTGATGATTACCAAGAAGAAGAGGATGCTCAAAGCTGACGATACTCTACAAATTTGATGCTTTGCATACTTCGCATACTGCAAGCAATGTTTCGTGGACATTAATATATTTGTTATTTGATTATCAAAAATATGTATTCAAGTTCTTTAGTTTTCAAAATGTATGGTCACGTTTGTGATTTACTGTTGTTGGCATTTTTACCTATTTTTATTAACTTTTTTTATACATTTGAATAATAGTTTCTTGATATAATAACAATCACTAACACTAAGGCCTAACACCATTAAGTTTTGGTTTCTTTTACCTCAACATCAATTAAATAATATAAAAATAATTAGGTTTATGAAATTGTGTAAAGTATATAAAAAAGGAAAGCAGATGAAACTACCTCAAATTCTTACCGACATGTTATTCAATGCAAATTCTAGATATAGCATCTTCATAGAGTAATAACTAAATAATTAAAGTCTGGCAAGTGACAACGAATTTAAAAATCTCATATGAAGATCATTCGTTAGAACAGACAAATTAACTGCATCTGTAACCATAAAGTCATAAATCAAATAAATTCTCAACAAGCTATAAATAATGAATTGAATAAGAAGTAATTGAAATTAACTTCGAGGAACCAGCCTAGGTCGATTCATCGGTATAGTTCACAAAAATCTCTTTCTTCAATTGTGTCGCGGCTGAACAAATTCAATGAAGTCGGCACCATTATTTATTTGTCCTAAAGATAGGGAGATAACAGAAAAACCCTAAAGGTATGGATAAGGTAGTCGTTGTAACCGAGTTAAGGATTCGAGAGTCAATTAAGCGGGGGAAGGTGTTAGGCACCTCTCACTTCCCTTGTACTCAAGAGGAATCTTTTATAGTCTTAGGGTTACAAGGTGTGTTTATTTGTTTCTTGCTTATTCTGCTTTAATTATTTATTTATACAGTAAAATATACCTACAATGGTTAAAATGGGAAGGAATTATTAGTGGACTCGTCTTGGTTTTGCAATCCTATGCCTACGCATCTCTCATCGGAGGATGAGAGAAATCAGAGTCCTACGTTGTTCGAATGTTTTGTTCGTTGATTTTAATCGCGAAAGAGAATAATCATGCAGACATAGCGTGCGCTAAGTCTTTGATCACCCAAATGAATGAATGTTGATTCACCCATTTTTAATCCATATTTATTAAAAATATTTGTGAGTAATCACTCAGACAAAGCGTGTGTCAAACCCCTCGATTACTTAGGAGAAGAGTGAATGTTTATCCGTCCATCTAAGGTTGATTAAAGAGTGAATTGATTTGATTTATTATACTGAGGCAAAAAATTAATTGATGAGTTGCATGGATTTTAAATATTTTGATTTTGAATAACTAATTAGTAAGAGTTAAGTCAACCAATCGATTATTCGAGAATGTGGTGGATGTAAAATCCACCTATTCTATTATTTACAAAAATATATAATTAATTTTGATTGTGAAAAATATTAATTATGCACAAGATATTATGAATTATTTTTTAATATTAAATTAATCAGAAAACCTAAATATATACAAGTTAATTGATTTAATTAATATAATAAATTAAAAGGCATATTTTTTAAACTTTTGGTATTTTTGATGTTTTATAATTTTTAACCTAATAACCAAATAATTAATTCTAATTAGAAGTAAGCTAAAAATACTACAAAAAGACAATAACTTAAATAAATAAATTAGACAAGTAAAATTGACTAAATGAATTAAAGGTGTTAATAAAACAAGAGATACAAAGTATGAAGGTTAAGCCCAAGGTCCAAGTTAGTGAATTCTAAGGACTAGATCCTAATTAAAACACACATAAATGAATAAATAATACAAATAAAAACATAACAAATGGAGAAAAGGGGCGGTGCATCCTGAAGGCTTGTGATTTGTGGTGGCGGTTCTTCTCGCGGTGGGTTGTGGCTAGTCAGTGATGCAGGGCCGTCTTCGGAAGCTGCTGTAGTAACGTCGGAGCTGGATGACCAGTGTTTTTGAATTTTCTAATTTTCCTTTCTTTTGAATCTGAGAGTTGTTATTTTGTTTTTGCAGGTGGTCGAATTTTGTTCAAATTTCACAAGTTATTGTGAATTTGAATTGCGGTTATAATAGGACGAGAAAGTATGGTTGTAAGATATGAACATAGTGGTGTTAGTATTGTAAGTGATTTGTGAAGTCTTGGTAAGGTCATGGTGTAGAGATGATGCTTTTGTTTACTTTAAGTGATAATGTTATGGTTTTATGGTGATCCCAATATATTAGAATTGACACTTATTTATATTAAAAAATAGTCAATAAAAAAACCAATAATTAAATTAGAATCGGAAATCAAATCAGATAATATTTGTAGGATGCCACAAACAAGATCAGATTCGTTCTCACTAAGATGTGAAATTATGCTAAAAACAACAACAAAATCAAATTGAAAACTTCTTTTTATATATTTTTTTAATATTTTATAATTTTGATCATTTTTTTTGGATAAAAAGTGTATAAAATGAAAAGGTCAATTTTTAAAAAATGACTAATTAATAAATACGAAAATTAATAATAGAAATGTGACTTTTTGTGATTTTTGAATGAAAAACAAAAATAAAATTAAATACAAATAAAAATATTAGAAATGTGAGATTCAAACTCAAGACTCTTTGCTTGCAAGTCCTCGTATCAATTGTGTTATTTTATTTATTCAAAATAAAGTGATACAAGAAAACATATAAAGATAAAGTGTCTAGAAAAAATTAGGATAGGACAAACTGCTCTCCCTGTCAAATTATACATAAACATCACTAACAAAAAACTACTCTACCACAATGTCAGTTATAAGTTCTGAAGGCGTCTTTTTTTTAGCAATAGAAACACCCTTTAGAGTATTGATGAAATTCCATGAGAATTCGGAGGCATAGAGTTTGGTATAGCTACTTTCGCTATTTAGAATTCACGACACATGCTCCAGACAGATATACAAAAGTTAAAATCAAATCAACGAAATCGTGATTAGTGAAATTGAAGAACGCCCAAAAATCTTGAATTCAAATAGACATGAAATGTAAATTGATAAATAGAAAGAATCGATTAACATAATCAAGTGAAAGGGAGAGAATGAGTAGGGAGGGAGCATATTCTGATGAAAATAGAGAGGGAGTGATTTATGAGTAGAGAGAGGGAGATATTCATTCAATTTAAGATGAAGAAAATGAGAAGTATTGAAAATTGTGTGACCCTTCACTTTTCATTTAAATGTCTCTTTGTTATTTTTGTTATTTCTCATATAAAGGCAATATAAAGAATATCATTTCAATTAATCAAATACTTAACAAAATAATTAAATTAATTTATAAATTGACACATTAGATGTCATAATTTTAAATATATAAGATTGTAACACGTATATAATTAAACCCTAATATCCTTGGATTAATAAAAAAGTTAGGTATGTATTCAAATGGGTTAATTTGAATAGGCCAAATACTTTAGATTTTATATAATAGATTATTTTTATAAATTAAATAGTCTATATCTTTCTATTAGTAAAATCTCGTCATAGTGAGTGTAACGTTTATAGTCAACCAAATTTAATAATTAAATGATTGATACATGACACTCAAATACATGACACCGCATTGTCGTTAAATATTTTGTGCTTTGATAACTAAACACGTCAATAAAAAATTGAGATTACTTAATGAATTTTCTTATATTTGAGCCACTTATTTTTCTATAAGTTAGTCGACATCTATATAAACTTATAAATTTATACGATGTTATTGCACTGGTCTCGTCTGAGTTAACATTATATGTCTATTAAATTATCATTTATAAAAAATAAATTTATCTTTTTTATTGATTGATATTCACATAATTATAAATATATGTTAATAATATATATAAAAAATTACACATTGATTTGTTCATATAATAAATTATACATTCGATTTTATAACTTCAATTATATAAAACAGTAGCAAAAGAAAAATTTAAAAGATGAACATTAAAATAAAAAGTTTACCGCTAATATCTCATAGATACGTTCATATTTATCCGCAAATCCAGAAGAATTAAAAAACCGTAATTAAATTCAAATGAGTTAATTTTTAAAATTTATTAAACATATTTTCAAACCTAAAATATATCACAACTGTCATCAAATTTCAATTTTAAATTTTTTTTATTAAATTATATTTATATTTTTTTACAACCTATAATATATGACAGCTCTTTATAAAAAATAATATACTATGTAAATATGTTCATGTAAATTCAATATGAAGATTAAAATCAAACATATAATTTAATCTTCAATAATAATCTTCAAAATATAAATAAAAAAATCATATATAAATTTATTGTAAAATTTTATAAATAAAAATATAAATTAAAAAACTAAAAAATATCATCAATTTTCTATTAAAAACGTGAACTTAAAACAATTTAAGGTAATATATAATGTAAAAGCTCTATATATTACCTTAAATTGTTTTAGATTACCTTTAGTACTTCTATTTAAATACAAATTGCTGATAAAAAAATCTCTTTTATATTTACATGCTTTGTTTGCAAATTAAAAAGAAAGATAAAGAGATGGCTTCCGATAAATAAAATTTTATAAAAATGTAAATAAATTTTTTCTATATTTTAAAAGAATAATTTGATATAAAATAATAAATATTTATTTATTATTAATATATTTTTAATTTTCAAAATAATATTATAATGGTTAAATTATATATAAACATTTTATCTTATCCTTCTAAAATTATTTAACTCTCTCCTCCAATATAATATTTTAATTTTTGAAAATAAATTTTATTAATATTTCATTTCGCTTGATCTATTATAAAATCAACTAACAACCTAAACCATCAAATTATGACATTTCCCTTGCTTACAAATTCAATACATTCAAATTGTCACGAACTAACATATTTGAAACTGAATTAAATCCTAATAGTTTCATTTACGTTCAAAAGAGAATTTAATAGTGTTCCATATCATTGGATTACAAGAAAAACCCAATGCATAATAATAGTCTTGAACATTTATAAATCAATTTATCTACCATAATAGTGTTGAGATATAAAGTGGAGTTCAGTTTTAGATAGCAGATAATTGCAGGATTGAAATGAAAAGTTTCCGAGTCAATTTCAAAAGACTTCAAAAATACTGTAAAATGAATCGCATGATGCTAGTCCAATTTTTTGTTGGGCAATTATTTAGGATTGGGTGTGTCATTTTAAAATTCACATTTTCATTATATGTTTTTTCTGTCTTTTGTTTACATTATAGTACTATTTTCAGAAAAACAAAACAACGTAAAAAATCAAAATCAACAAATCCTCCCAAATGCAAGTGCCTCATCACACAAGGTCCGTCAATAACAGAACTTTACATTAGTTTCAAAATTATTTTAAGAGCAATACAGAACACCATGCAACCTGGAGAAAAAATTGCAGTCACAATTTGATTTGCAGTTATGCATGATTAGTCATTCAGCTGCACTGGCAACACTGAAAACATTATTAATTTTTCAGAAACGATAATAAATACAGTATTTGTTGGTGCAAGGTAATGAAGTGGAAGAAAAAGAATGAACAAAGAATGATAATAAAAAGAACTACGATTAACAGAGTTACAGATTTTTTTCTCGTTACAACATACACACTTTCTACCTTGTTCGCTAGCATTTCAAAGAAATTAAAATTCCATGCATGACAGGGGATACCATACACTCTAACATTCTATACTTTGATATAAATGGTAATACTTTTGTCACAAAAAGTATTATTTTCTTATTCATAAAATATATGTAATAATAATATAATTATTTTCTTAGATTAAACTCTTAAATTAATAAGTTTCTATATATTTACAAGATATGATTTATTTAGGACAAACAACCGAGTGTCCACCAAGCTTAACGTGCACCCTCAATTCAATCGTGATACAAATCATCGAAAAATCGAAGGCGATTCATTCTCTCTCCGACGACGCAACCCTTATCTCCGGCAAACTTTCATTTCCTAGCTTCTTGCACGGTAACCTCCAATTTTTCTTTCTGATTTCATTTTCGATTCTTATCACACCATCTATGATTTCGTTACTGCCACTCTTAACTCGCTTATTCGATCTGTGATGTGATTGTGTTTTAGAAATTGCTTGCTAATACGTGTATGTTTGTTGTGATTTGAATGCTTCGGTAATTTGTAATTGTTCAATTGAGCATTTTCTTTGTTTTGATTTAGTATTCATGCGTTTTGTTACGCGATGATGAAAATTGATTCCGAGTGAATTGATTTTGTAAAATGTATTCGAGAACATTCAATTAATTCTCTATATTGCATTTAGAATATATCTGCTGGCACGATGCTTTTGGCGAAATCAGAATCTGATATCTCTAGTTTAGCTCCACAATCTTCACCTTCAATTTTAGGAGTGGTTAATCGAGATGCTTGATCATGATGTTGCCTTTATTGAAGAGGAAGTTGTAATTGATCAACATGATATGTTATCTTCTTACTTTGTTATTTCTTGAAATTGATAAGGTGCTATGTTTTTTGTAGATTTCATTTTGGTGCCAATCGTGGTGGTGAATTGGTGCCCTACCTCAAACGACAATGGTATGATCCTCTCTTCTCTAATCTTTCCTCTACCTCAACAGTTCCCTTTCCGATTTCTTAACTATTGTTAATCTTATCTACAACTCGATTCACTCAATTATCTATGATATTCTCTATAAGAATTTTCAATCTAATCTATTGTCTTACTACGCTGAGTTGCTTCTTGCTTGTATATCCTATTGCGCTTTTTATTTTTAATTATTTTTTTCATCATTAAATTTTCCAAATTATTTTTTCTTTTTTTTACATCTCTAAATGAGCCTGTTCCCTTTATTTGATTGTATCACATAAATGGTTGAGAGAGAAAAAAAAATCATGAAACAATCATTGACTTTCTTTTTGATATGCAATTTTGTTATCAGTCATCTCTACATAGAGGGGATTCCAGGAGGTTCAACAATAAACCAAAAGCACGGCATCACTTGACAACTCAGAAGAGACAAGAGATTAAGGAAGCTTTTGAACTATTCGACACTGATGGCTCAGGTTTTATAAATCATGTTACCATTATCTCAATGTAGTCAAATATTTTGTTTCCTCTTTATGCTAATACTGTGATGATTTGTAGGTACTATTGATGCCAAGGAGCTAAATGTTGCCATGAGGTTGTGTTGTTATTCATAACGTTAAAAATGTTTGTCGTATTAATTGGCTATGTTGTTTTCATAACATACATTTTCTCTTTGCAGAGCCCTTGGATTTGAGATGACAGAAGAGGTATTATATATATAATATTCAAGTACATTCTTTCAATTTTCTTATTGAGCAGAGTTTGCTAGTCCCAATTATTTCCACGATTGGTTGTTCCTCTACTTATTCAGTGATAGTGATCAGTGGCTAATGAAATCTGATTGTAGAATAGCAATGAATCACATACAACATTGTTAGGATTTTGTGATGTCATTCTTTTAGAGTTCTATATGCATCTCTCTCATAGATAAACCACTGCACCATTTCAGCAAATTGAGCAAATGATAGCAGATGTCGACAAGGATGGGAGTGGAGCGATTGACTATGATGAATTTGAGCACATGATGACGGCCAAAATAGGAGAGAGGGACTCTAAAGAGGAGCTCATGAAAGCTTTCCATATTATTGATCAAGACAAAAATGTGAAGATCTTCACTGGTTTACATCATCAGTATTGCTTTTTCTTGATTCTCATTGCATATATGTGATCATTGCAGGGTAAGATATCTGCATCTGACATCAAGCGCATTGCTAAAGAGCTTGGTCAAAATTTTACTGATCGAGAGATTCAGGAGATGGTTGATGAAGCAGATCAAAATAGTAAGTTACCACAGTCATATAACCACTGACTCTCTAATTTTTCCGTAAAACTTTTACATCTCACATAGTGTATTTGTACTGCATTCTCTGGTGAACTAAGTGGAGATACGTGTGTTTTAGGTTATGCTGATTTAGTATTGTCTGTATATAAAAATATTATCATTACTTTGAACTTCAAATGTGTGGTTTTCTGAATTGAAAGTAAAGTATGCACACTGATTTTATTTTAGTTCTCGTGTGCTTGAAGTTTCTTTACCATAATTAGTTTTTGATATCAGAGTCATTGTGTGGGAAATACTAATATTCTTTATTTTCTGCTCTTGTTTATTCATAATGATGTCTATTAATTGGTTCCTTCCCCCATTTAAGGATAACAGTTCTGGTCAATATCTTTGGTCTGAAACCCCCTTCCACCATACACATATGTGAGCAGTGAAAAACAAAGTTAAATGGAGAAAACCGAGTTAAAATCAATTAAAGTGAAAAACAGGTTTTGACTACCATATCACCTGACATTTAGAGTTTTTTTTTTGGTGTAATACACATGATGTGTTGAACATGAGGCACAGCTGGACAACAAGATAGAATAAACAATAGGGTGCTAGTTGGTTGGTCAATAGTTAGTTACAGTGGCAGTTTGGTAGTTAGTTTTAGGGAGCTAGAAGTCCAAAAACTAAAGTCTATTCTAGAAGAAAGTTAGTTGGGTAGTTTAGTTAGTGTCTTACTTTTAAAAGAGGAGTTTGTTTTAACTGTTTGTGCCTGATGTTGGTCAGTATGTAAAGCAAGAATGTGAGTCATATGTGGGGATCATATTTTGAATTAACCGTTTCATTTGGAAAAGAGAATATTGCCCCTGGCAGAGAAAAACCTTGTCTCATTCTTTGGTTCTTTTTCTGTTTATAATCATCTCTCAATCCCCCAAAAACCAACCAGTTAGAGGTTAATTAGCAGGAGCTGCACATCCATAAGGGAATCTGGGATTAATATGCAACAACCGAATCTCTCAGTCCCCTTGTAAAGTCGTTTATGTGATATTCTCTCTCCATTGCAGAAATAACAAAGTTCTTTCTCTCTTTCCCCCATCTTATCTTCCTGTTTGTCCTACTTGTTATGCTATGTGACACCAACCCCTCTAATTGAAGGCTTATGGTGTCCGACACCCACACGTCACCGACACATGTTTGCATTCAACTAATTCATTTTCTTAAATTGTTACCCGTGCCAGTGTCGTGTCCGATGTATTTGTCTATGTCAGTGTTTCATAGTTGTTATGTCCTATGGTTTTTTTGTTTCCTAACTTGATGATTACAATAGGTTCCTGAATTGTATATACATTCAGTATTTGTTGAAAAATGAGTAGATTGTTATTTCGAAACTAAAGTGTGTGTTTGCATTGGTTTCATAGTTCTTAAGGAAAGTTCAGCGTGTTATATTACACTCTTGTTTGCTGGCCATGACTAATATGGACCACCATAATAGACAGACCATTATTTACTTCATATCTACACCCATCCCTTATATCAATCTATACCTCACTAACTTAATTTTTAACCAAAACCACCAAATCAACACCAAGAATTGCCATGGCCTTTCCTCCGACGGCCGCCAACTCCTCCCCTGCCCTTGAGGACAGAGCACGACGATGCAATAGTGTGGAAAAACTCGTCCAGCAAGTGCTCTCAGTCGTATTCATGGCCGGTGCTTGGAACATAAACAAGCTACACTCTTGGTGGGTTTTGATTGCATCATATAGAGCAAAAACAATCCCAAACAAATTTAAAAAACATTGGCTTCTTGATATTAAATTAAACACAAAATAGTTGGGGTTCTTATGCTCTATCTGGGACAGAACATGGTCTTTATTAGAGGCCCAAAAATGCCAGTGATGATGTGAATCACTTTGTCATGCTCCTATTGTACCATACAGCCAGACCAATCATTATCACGTTCTTGGCTTGGTGTATGGGTTGTTATGGTCCACTAGCTTCGTACATGAAAGAACCACCCATTTGCGGCGGCACTGACAGTAAAAACAGTGCATCATCCTCAGAAGAAAAGGTAGCACTCAGTGAACATCAAGGACGAAGACATACTGCGTGCTTGCGGCGGGGATGGAGGTAAAGTAAGTTGGGGAATGAGAATGATTTCATGAAGAGCATCCACTGTAAGGTTTAGTGGAACTGTGATTTAAAGATGTAGACCACCTAAGATTTTCCACCTTAACTGCCTCCATGTTTGCTGTGTGATAAATTTTGTAAGATAAATGTTAAGGCAATATAAGACTTCGCATTCTTTTTAACTGTAGATTTAGTACCTAATTCTGATTTTCTCATTTTTGGGCTTGATTCTTGTTGATTTCTTCCTCATGCTTGTGAGATATTTTTTACTTTAACATTTTTGGTTTTACAACATGCAGATGATCAAGAGGTTGATCCAGAGGAGTTCGTCTCGATGATGAAGAGAACAAGCTACCGTCACTAGTCATATCATCATGTAGACTACATGGAGAAGTAGTTACCTTTGTTTATGTGCAAAAATCAGATGATGTTGTACTTCTGCTAGTGTGCAAATTGTAGGAATGATGAATCAAATGTTGTTTATTTTGATAAGAGATATGAATCCATTGCTATGATTTTCTGTTTCCTATGATCATATAGATGTATTCTGGAATTTAGGTATGTTGTTCGGAACTAGGTTTGAGTCTAAACTAGTAGCAATCTATGATTTCAAAATAAATCAGAATTCAAAATATAATAAATCAAATATGAACCAATTGCAATATAGGATAAACAATCTGTATGGTGGAGAATGTTGAAGGTGTTGAAAGAGGTGTGGTCAGTAGTTTTGGTTGCTAGTTTCTCATATCTTTTCGAAGGTGGACGGAAATGGTTGAAATTCCTTATTTTGATTTGAATCACGGTTTAATGGGGAATTGTTAATAAACAGGAAACAATGAATTTAGTAGACTTTTTTTTTTTGGTTGTTAATAAACAGGAAACAGTGAAGGAAATGTTAAAGTTGAGTGAGGCCTATGGGAGAGTAAGGTGGAGATGGAGAAGAAATTTGCTTCAATGAGAGGAGGATTTAGTGGTGGAGTGTAGTGATTGGTTGGCTAGTGTTTCTTTGCAAGTTAAGGATTCTTGAAGATGTAGTTTTATGATTGTTTCTTTGCAAGTTAAGGATTCTTGGAGATGTAGTTTTATGATTGTTTCTTTGGAAGTTAAGGATTCTTGGAGATGTAGTTTTATGATTGTTTCTTTGCAAGTTAAGGATTCTTGGAGATGTAGTTTTATGACTGTTTCTTTGCAAGTTAAGGATTCTGGAGATGTAGTCCATGATTGCTTATCCGGTATAAAGTTTCAAAATTGATTATGCTTCTTCAAAATCAATTTCATCATGTTTGGTGTTCTGAAATACCTGCCGCCACCATACATTTTCCTGTTAATTGATTTTCTGATGAAACTGCAATTTCTAACTTTTATTCTCTTTAAAGCATTGTATGCTTTCCATCAATTTGTCTCTTTTGCTCTTGAATTAAACAACATCCAAAATTCTCATCACCTATCAATGTCTCATCAGATATTATTTTTGATAGACATTTTCACCAACCACTTTATTCCACTTCCACCAATAACTTTTACTTTTCATTTTAGTGTTGGGAAGGTATAGATTGCAAAATATACATACTATTAATTTCTTATTTTTATTAAAGATTGATCACATTAATTTATATATTAATTACATAGTAATTATATTTTTTTGTTAATACAAATGTCGATCCAAAGATCCGATCCGGACACACCAAAAAAACTAAATGATAATACAATCTTACATACACCAAAAAAACTCAAATCTCATTTCTATTACAAAATCTAGCTAATTTCCTATTCGTTTTCGCACGTCAAATTACATTATGAATGATCTCCATGTCCCGAAACTCCTTTGTGTTACGATTTTGGAATATAACTTAGTTTATAATCATCCATATTGAGCAGATAGTTTCAGCTAAGGCACTCTTCAGCAATCTAGCTTTACTACCTTTGCTCCTCGAATGGATACTACACCATTGCAGTTCGGCCTCCCAACCTAGTGGGACATGGTTGTAGTTCAGCCAGCAAGAATTTCGCTCCAAATTCTCTTTGTTTCTTCACAGTCAAAAAATAAATGATTGCAACTCTCAAGGCCCTCACAATACCTACATTTTTCATCAGTCACAATGCCAAATTTATTAAGTATGTCTTTGGTTAGTAGTTTCCTTTGACACGCCATCCACAAAGTAAATATAACTCTTGGTCTAGCTATGTTTTCAAGAAAATCTTTCTTCAGCTGACTTTGTTTGTTTCCTAAAGCATTTTGTACATCTCTCTAGTCACATATTTTCCTATAATTTGGAAACCCCTCCACGTGGCCGACTGCATAAATGTCTCTTTGTGTTTGAACATGGCTTTAAGAATCCAAGAATTATGAGTTTGTCACATCTTTTCTTTTAATATAATACATATGTATCCATCTAATCCAAAACTTGTCCTCCTTGGCACAAACATTCCACAAGATCTTTCCAATAGTTTCTTTGTTCTAATTGGAGAGAGTAATCAAATCAAACTTCTTTATATTTGATAGCTCATCCCTCACATTCTTCATTCACAAACACATAAGTTTGAAGACAAGTTTGTAAAGTTCTAGATTTTTCTTGTGTTTAATATCTCAAGGTATCAAATGCCTTATTATTTTTTCCTATTAACTTGGTCGTGATAATAATATTTATGACGTGTTTGATAAAATATTTGAATAAGAAACTATTGTTTTTCATATTTTTTTTAACAAGAATGATTTCTTCTCTTTTATGTTTTTGTTTTGCTTGGTATTTGTTAATATATAGTATTGTTTTGCACTGGTTTTGTTGGAATTGTATGTATATAGGATTCTTGTTTGAGTAGATTTTTTTATTTAAATTTGTCTATGTAAAATGATGTCTACCAAAAATATTAGTTTGGATCTTCCCACAAATATTGAAAGGGTGCAGCTGAAAACGAAAGCTTTTTGTGATCACAAATCAATTGAAAACAAAAGTTCTTTGAGATCACAAATCAACTGAAAATTTTATCAAAACATGTTTGGATCAAATTTTCAAGAGAGAACGTGTTGATACAAGCTTTTCAAAAAAAAAAATGGTGAAAATAGATTATTTATCAATTTTATGATGTTAGGTATGTGATTTTATAGTTGACAACAATTTTAATAAAATAAAGAGTTGACAACAATTTTATCAAAATATATTTCATTTAGAAAACATGTATTGCAACCTAATGCTAAACAAGATGTTATAACATCTTTACCAGCTAGTACAATAGAGTCTTTTATTTGACATATGTTCTATCAAATGTTGTAACATGTTGTAACAGAACATCATGGTAGTACAACTGGTATGTATCCTTGAAGATTTGATTTGAAAATATGAGTTTCTGGAGGCTTCTAGTACTCATAACAGGCGCAGACAATCAAGGATTTTTAGGAACAATTGCAGATTTGATTGTTTCATAATAATAATCTTTGAGGCTTTTTAGGAAATATTGGAAAGATTTGTTTTTTGTTTCTATTTTTGTGGAGAATATTCTACAGGGATTTAGAGTCAAAGATTGGATTTGATTGAAGAGTTCAAGTCCACTGTAGAAATCTATTTAAGAGGACGTCCAAGACCTAGTTTTTTAAGCATTATTTTTATTGTAAAGCCTTTAAAAAAATAAGAATTTAGGGTTTGAGAGTTCCTTAGATTTTTTGGGTGTTATTTGTGTTAGATCGGTTCACAACCTTACAATTTCTATCAATATAAAAATCAAGAACAAAACTCTAAATAAGTCCCTTAAACTTATATCTGAATATAATTATGAGAATGAAAGCGGAAACGTACATGAGTTTCTCATTGATAATCATCGGAGGTTTGCAGGTATATGATTTTCCAATTTGTAGAGTTCCTTATGGCTCCTTGAATCTCCTCGGACGGAGAAGAATAGCGAATTTTTTCTGATGAGCCATTTTCACATTGTCTACAAATAGGGACCATAATCTCTATAAATAATCTTAGGGTTATTTCTTAATTTTCAATATTCTAATTTGGCCCCACATCAAATTAGATATTGACTTATGGTATCCACACAATAACATTACCTTTCATGATATTTATGCTTTTAGCTACAAACTTATTATTAATTAGACTACTACAACTTTGGCTAATTACATAATGATCCTAACACATGTAATATTATAATTGTGACCCAAATATTCTAACAATCTCCCACTGGTCACATTTGTGATCATATACATGTGTTCGACTTTATGAGCTCAAAACTCACCATTATATTTCTTAAGCATATCCAAATTATTTCGTCCATTAGTCATGCCAATATACAAAATCAAGGTGATTTTCGTTATATCAATCATAACTAAACCATCAATGATCATCAATAGTGACTCAACTAAATGACATAGATTCATCATGAAATGTGCAGAATGAAAATCACATGAAGTTGGTTTGTATATGTCGATTTTCAACTGGTCCTACTTTACTTTAGTGAGATCATTCAACAACTTTATTATACAAAATTTAAACTACTGAATATCAAACTTTATTAATTTGAAAAATATCCAAAATCATAGTATGCATACATAATACCAAAATATAGAACATAAAATTCATAATTGACTAACTCCCAATAAACCAAAGACTCATCTAACGGTAAAACACCCATGCGAACAGTGTGCTCATGAAAGACCTTGGGTGGAAGACCTTTTGTAAGAGGATCTACTATCATGGAGTTTGTCCGCAAGTGTTCTATATAAATTTGTCCACTTTGTACCATTTCCTTAACAATTAGGAACTTGATGTCAATATGTTTTGACTTGGTCGAGCTCCTATTATTGTTGGAATACATGACAAATGATTTATTGTCACAGTATAACTTAAATGGTCTTTCAATTTCTTCCATAATTCGCAGTCTAGTGACAAGATTCCTCAGTCAAATCCCATGGTTGGATGTCTCATAACATGCTATAAACTTTGCTGCCATGATGGATGAAGTCATAAGAGTTTGCTTGACAGTGCACCAAGAAACTGCACTACCAGCCAACATGTATATATAGCATGAAGTGGATCTTTTTCTATCTTGGCATTCAACAAAATCTGAGTCAAAGTATCCAGTGATCTCTAATTGGTCTGGCCTCCTATATGTGAGCATATAGTCTTTTGTTCTCTTTAAATACCTCATAACCTTTTTGGTTTCTTTCCAATGATCCATTCCTGGATTTCTCAAATATCTGCCTAACATCCCAACTATGAACGCAATATCCAGACGCGTACATACTTGGGCATACATCAGACTCCCTACAGCTAACGCATAAGAAATATTTTGCATTTTTTGAATTTCTAAGTTTCCTTTTGGGCACTTATTAAGACTAAATTTGTCTCCCTTAACTATTGGAGTATC